CTTAGAAGAATATTTCAATTAATTAAAAAATTAAAATTAAATTAAACAAAAATCCTATTATAAAACTAATTTCGTCTATTTCTTCTTACACATAAATGTTGATGAAAAGAAAGATTTTAAAATTTGAAAAATCATTTAAATAGCGATAATATTGAAAATTTGATAAATATATTGATAACAAACAATTGCCTTTTAGCACTGATATAAAATTTGATTAAGCTACTTGATAAATTGATCGTTCAACTAATTGCGCCCACGCTTTATTTAACTTCCTACGTCAGGTGTATTAATCTTTGCTATTATTAACAGCATCCTAATTAGTCCTAATTAATTATGATATGCAATTATTTCTCTTGACTTACATTTCACAGTCTGACCAAGTATTTTGCGGTACAGCGGAGTTCTGCATAACTTCTGTAGTTTCCTAAAATCAAATCCAATAAAGTTTCAGAATTGATATATTTTTTTTTTTTAAGAGAAAAATTTATGCATCTTTTTTTTTTGCTTACACTATTTTCTTTCCAGATGGATGAAGCACTGATAAATTCCAACGTGTAAAGAATGTAAACGGCACCAATTACAGCTGTCATTTTAATTAACATTGAATGATCATCAGAGGTGGATGTTCCATCGTCAAATTTCTATAAATAATGTAAAATATCAATTATGATATATAGATGATTTAAATATTTGCAATGAACACAATCATTTAATGATCATAAAATGAAAGTTTGTCAAAAATTCATAAGAAAAAAAATGATCAAAAAAAAAAAGACTCTATCATTATGTTGATAAACCTAGTTTAACGCAATGATAAAAGTTCAGAAAATAACCTCATGATAATGATGATGATGATGATGATGATGACGATGATGAGGATGATCCGAATGATCCTGTTCCATTTCATTATAATCGTAATGATGATGATCCGGATAATTATTTTCCATTTGAAGATGATCGTGATCGTGAGCGTGATGATGATGATAGTGATTCGAATGATTGTGATCGTGATGATTATGGTGATCCGAATGATTGTGTTCTATTTTATGGTAATTATGATCATGATCGTGATGATGATCCGAATGATTGTGATTGTGATGATAATGATGATCCGAATGATTGTGATCGTGATGATGATCCGAATGATTGTGATCATGATGATAATGATGATCCGAATGATTGTGATCGTGATGATAATGATGATCCAAATGATTGTAATCGTAATGATTATGGTGATCCGAATGATTGTGTTCTATTTCAAGGTGATTGTGATGATGATGATGATGATGATGTTGTACGTGATCACGACGAAAATGATCATGTACCCCGACTACCTTAATGGTTCAAAACGAAAATTTACCAATTTCTTAAATTCATCAAGTTTTACCAGTTTTACAGTGAGATTTTCATCTATAAATCAAACCACCAAAATTTTCAACTGTCTAAAGAACAAATATTCTTTTTTAAACTGTAATCTGTTTCCCATTATTTATGGAAGGACATTGTTTTTGATAACAAAAATTAGCAATCAGAGATTAATTGCCTCTAACTTTATCCCACTGAATAATATTAACAAATAAAACACGAAATACCTGTGGTAAAATATGAAGCAAAGCATCTGAGCTTAACGTTGAAACAGCTAAAGCAATAAATATTTGCATCCATCTATTTCGCCATTTACCTTTTATGACAGGTAAAAATATAAGGCCAGTTAATGACAATAACGAAACTACAGTAATCGATGTAAAACCATAGAAAAGAGCTGAAATTTGAAGAAATTTTTAGTCAAAAAAAAAAAAATTCCTAAACTTTCTTTCAAGAATATAAAAATGAAAAAAAAATAAAATAAAATACATTCAGTCTTGAAAATACTTCCGTCGTTCATCATCGTTGAAAATATTTCGATAATATAATATAGGCTATTTAGAAAGAATTGAAATAACACTTCGTGAATGTTTCTAATAATGAAATCCTAAAATTTCAAATAATTAATAACAATATATCAGTTCAAATAGATAGAGCAAAAAGAATAACATAGGTAGGAACACAATATAATGATACACAAACATTTCTATTTGACAATATTTCATACAAATTGTACGTGACATACTATCAATAGGTAATTAAGGTTTACTAAAAAAAAAATGAAATCTTGAAATTTTATGAAATGAAAACTTATCACATACCTGCTCCTGTTTTTTTATTTAACAAAAAAAAAAATAAAGATTTCTATTATTAAATAACAAA